ATCGCAGGATGTTAGTGGAGACCGCATGAACGGAGGATGATGTATACCGAGATGCGGACTTATACGAGTGGTCAAGACACGGGCCTCGTAATCTAAACGTTCGTGGTTCGATCCCTTTCTGCTTCACTTTAATATTTTTTTTATCATTATTTTTCATAAGGTAAATTTATGAATTTCATACCGATTTCTTGAGGCTAAAAAGCATAAAGAAATCCTTTGCATATCGATAGTGTATTTCGCTGGGTGTAAATGTAATAAATAAAAAGCTTAGTGGTATAGTCCAAAGCGTAGACAGAACACGAAATAAAAAAAAAAAAATAAAAAAAATCATTGCATCGTCTGCATGGCCAACTTATATTATTCTCTACGGTATTCGCTGCAGACGATGATAGGAAATGTAACTAACATTGAATGTAATAAATTTTTGGTTTGCGTGTATAATGAAAATTTGTATGATAGAGTAATGTAGGGCAAAAGTTCGACCTTAGTTGAAAAAAAACTGCAAGCATTTGCAACCGAACTAATTCCATAAACAGGACCACTTATTCAAGGTTTACCATTTTCTTTAACAGAACTTTTATGAGTTTTCAGTTAATTCGTGGCTAGAACCACTTTTTCAATCCCCACTGGTGAGGCAAAATTTCGTTTCAGCAATGAGGCAAAAGTTCGCAAACTTAATGACAGTTTTTGAAAAGTTTTGCCACTACAAATCTTTAAGTACCCCATGAATGTGAGAAGGGAATGAAGAAACCCTTTGTGTGTGTGTGTCCAGTTATTGTAAGAACCTAATCCACTCAAAAATAGTGTTTTTACGCAATAAATACAATAATTTGCATGATATGAGTTTGGGACATGACTCAAACTTATGCACCGCTGACTCGTTTTATTTTGCATAGGCGTCGAAAACATCTAAACGAACTTTCGACCCACTCTAACTTTTGCCCCACCTTACTCTATGTGTGAAAATTTCCACAAAAAATCAGTGGTAGATAATTCTCCTATCGATTCAACCGTTTAATAATTTGGTCACTGAATGATGCTTTTTTTTTGAGCGGTGCCGGTGGTGTAGTGGTAAGCGTGATTGCCTTTCACCCCAGCAGGCCTGGGTTTAATTCCAGTCGACGCCGCCGCCGGGATGTTTTGAGGCATAACTTCTCTGATCAGGGAAGCCGTTGGTCCCCTGTTCATGAGCTTGATGGGTCGATAGGTAGGGTCCAGGTGTGGGAGCTGCTGCCTCCCTGGCGTCGATAGCATTGGTGCCTAGCACGGAAAACCAAGGGGGGGAGGTGGCTGTCAAATACGAACAATCGTCGCCTACCTCGCATAACTGGTTCCAAAAGTAAAAAAGCCATAAGAAACCTGCAGCGTTTGTTTACGTTTGGAACCAGTTTTATACAAGAATGATCAGTAGGCTATTTTGACAGCACGTCCCCCCCCCCAGCGGAAAACAAGATCGACGGAAAACAAATCAATAAAAAAAAAAAAGAATGATGCTTGTCACCTACGCAATGGCATCGAAACGTGCTAAATCGAAACAAACTTAAAGGGAAGAATATTGACATATTTCGCTCACATTTTTCTGGTGCTCTGGACTTTTTACTGCAACATTTTTCATTATCTGTAACATGATGAAAATGAAAATAATTTTATGATTTGCTAATAGAATTCTATACGAAGAAGTACGCTTATGCAACTTAGATTACTCAATTATACTTTCATTTCTTAACCTCTGCAGAACAAAATCACGGAAAAATCTCCCTCCCTTAAATGGAAAGCACTGAATCCAACAATGCTAATCTTCACAATCAAGAAATCCCGCAATGAAAGTCAACGAGAAAGGCAGAAGGTCGTCAAAAGATTGCGGCACCTGTTAGCAGCTATACGGCAAATCGTGACACTCTGCTTCCTACACAGCGAAAGATTCCATCTCCCTCAGATCCCTGTTCTTCAGAAACACCCTGTAGCCCCCTTAATCACCTCATTTTTATCAAGTCGTTTTTATACGCCTCATGCTGATGCTGCCGGGGCCAGTTTTGTCGTAAAATTCACAACACAAAAGTGGTACAGGTGTTCGAAATGCAGAAGAGTAAAACTTGCCCTTAAGCGATGAGAGTTTTATAGCACTTTCCGAAGACAGAAAGTCATCCAGCCACCAACCACACACCGGACGAGGATGCCACAGTTTGGGCACCAATACAGTCGAGAATGTTGGACACCCAAAATTAAACTGTATGATTAGTGTGCGTTTTCTTCATTAAAAATTAAAATTATGTATTTCGCAAATTTTCCTAACGTGCCAGAAAAGATTTTAAATGGAACATTTTGCTTTGGGTGCACGATGGGTAAGAAAGATTCAAGCGAATCGCGAGGGACTGTGCTTGCGGGAACGAAGTCGATGACGACAAACACAGGCAGAAAGAGAAGCAGTTAAGTTGGAAGAAAGTTCGTTGAACTGGGGTTGGCGCTCTCAAAGACTTGAAGTAGCAGGGTCAAATCGCGCTGGTGATGTCTTCGGGTTCTTTTCTTGTATGTTTTCCCTACTTATGCATGCATATGTATGTACCTACATAATCGGTGCAGTCTCTCGTTCCGCTTTCTGGTTGGATGTGGCTAATTTATATCTGTGCATTCTCTGTTTTTGCGGTAAATTGAATCTACTTACACTATTTTATCATTAATGCTCATGCATTTAAATAAATTCAATATATTTTGAAATCTAGATCATCATTTGAAATAGGCGGAACAACCAATCGTAAACAATGGATTTATACGCAAATTTCCCAATAATCAAAACAAATCCATGCAATCCAACACCCGCATCTGATAGAGCAAAGAATTGTTAGTTTGCGTGGGTGTGTTTTGATTATCGACAAATTTGCGATTAAAGCCATTGTTTACGATCGGTTGTTGCGCCTATTTAAATTGTTGGTCTAGAAATAATCCTTTTCATAAATATTAAAGTGCTCATCTCATAAACGGAGTGGACCGGTGTTCCCTATAGCCATAATATGTATGAAACTTTTCAAACAGTCTTCAATCGGCATCAAACCGATTCGCTAGCACAAATAGCACATCGTAATACATAAAAATCCAACTTTGGATCATTCAACAAAGTTTCGCACAGCGAAGCAAAGGAATACAAAGTTATACCAATATCTCATGAAAAACGACAAAAAAAAACGAACAACCACAAACAGAAGTCCACGAAATTCGATAAAGAGACCAGCAATGAAAAAAACTTCAAAAGTAGTCACTCGGACTGCCGATTTGGTAGTGGTTTAAAAATTTGTGGCACAAGTGACTTGGGAAATGGATGGGGAAAGTAAAATTAGTCAAATCAAGGTGGGTGAGCGTGCGCTTGGACGTTTTTTTTTTGTTGTTCCTACATGCTATGATGTCCTACATGTGGAAATTATTGTGCGACGACAAAATTACCGTAAATGCGTCGTTAATGGTGGTTAAATGGAACAATCATGCAGCGATTGTAGGTGGTCCCATGCGTTGAGGGGGGTTGACTGCTGGGAAGAATGGGTATATGTAACTAAGGTCGGTTTAAACTCCTTCCGCAAAAGACACACTGAAATCCGCAAACAACGCACTGAAATTGCATTTTAATATTTTGTTTTCCAATTCCATTGGTTAGAAGGTGACGTGATTCCTAGTAACCGTTGCGTTGTTTTGGTGAAAATTGTAGTACAAGAAGAATGGTTGAGACGAACAAATATTAAACAAGCAGCTTAAGACTGTACAGAATTTTGCACGGGCTCTGCCATAACAAAGAGATTTTACATTCCGTTCAGCTGAAATTAGTCGCACATCCAGCAGCATATAATTTTACGAAGCTGACCTTTTCCACAGCCAGGGCTCACGTCAGAGACTCAATTATTTCCAACAAACCACGACGGAATCCCTAAACAGTGACCTTATTTCGAAGAGCCCGCCTCAGGAAACCAACAAAAATAACGCTCCCCAAAAATGACCACTCTGTACAACAGCAGTCATGAAGCGGAGATTGGAGCGACGGTACCTACAAATCGCTACTTCACACGAAACGTGACTCCTGTCCGTATTAAAATCATACCAATGAAAGCAAAAAAAAAATCAGTCTTGCTACCAAAATAAGCTCCACAAAGAACCCAATCTCCGCAGCCAAGAGAGAAAGCCTTATTCAATTACCACTCGCGCTGGACAAGGCCTTAATTTAACGGACAATCTAAATATTTGTTTGGTTTCCTCTTCGCTTCCTCCCGCAGGCCAAGCGAAAAAAAGCTCTTGTCTTTTTCGAGTGTCATCCCCCTTCCCCTGCATTGCACTGGCTACGGGGTCCATTCGCACATTGCGCACGTGGAGGGCCACCTATTAAAGATGAGCTTCTACGGTAGTCCTGCATAGAAAAACAATGCTAAGAAGTTCGCCGGTGATGGAAGGAGCAGCGAAAAAAATTAATTGAAAATGCTTCTTACCCAAATACACACTTGCTCGTGCTCGTCGTAGCGCAGTTGTTAGACCGGGGGAGAGTCGAGACTGGATGCTGCACGACGTGACGCGACGCTCTCGGGATGATGGTAATGATGTGGATGACTTGGCGGAAATTTGCACTCTCCGACCCATCCGACTAGCGCTTACCATCAGCACTGGCCATGTTTACAGGTTTTTCGGAGCTTTAGTTCCAGAAGAAATGGGACTCCCTCTCTAGAAACCCAATTAGGTCTGCTTTTTTTGCAGCAGGACGAGTGCAAGATTACCGGAGACACGGTGGTGGTTAGCCTAGTTTCAGGGGCATATTTCCACCGCGAAACAGAAGCGTATAAACAAAATGTTGAACCGGTGGCTAATTAGTTCTTATGCACGTTCTACTATATTTTATGTTTCGAAGAAAATTGCCCATGGAGGTAGGGAAATTTGCTAGGGAACGAATGCATTAGAAAAGTCATTTTGGACCTCAGCACCTGCCATTAGATACCGTAAAAATTAACCTATTTTCATTCTTATCCCTTCAGATTTTCCTCGAGTTGAAATCGGCCCGGAGAATCCATTGAGCGTAGAGCGTGACCAGACTGCCAAGCTGGAGTGCAACGTCGATGCCAAACCGAAACCGGAACGTGTGCAATGGACCCGCAATGGTCGTTTCATTTCGTCCCACCCAGTGCACACCATTCACCGTGTATCGCTTCAGGACGCCGGAAAGTATGCCTGTTCCGCCGACAACGGGTTGGGTAAATCCGGGGAGCAGGAAATCATGCTGAATGTCCTTTACCCACCGATCGTGCAGATAGAATCCAAGACCAAAGAAGCCGAGGAGAAGGAAACCGTACAGATCAAGTGTAACGTTACGGCGAATCCTCCTCCAGTTACAATCGAATGGCTGAAGGAAGGTGATATGGACTTTAGGAGAAATGGAGACACTCTTAGCTTGCGGGACGTTCGGGCTGAGGATGCTGGAACCTACATCTGCCGGGGTATTAACATAATGAAACCATACGGAGGAAAGACCCTAGAGCGAGAAGGCAATGCTTCGATTGCGCTGTTGGTTCGTCACCGTCCAGGTCAATCAGTGATCACTCCGGAGAAGCCGGTAGTTCATGTTGGTAACAGCGTTAGCTTAATGTGCAAGGCTGATCCTCCAGGTTGGCCACTAGCCCAGTACCGCTGGTATCGCGACGTTGGAGGTGAAGTTTCAACCACGGTGATTGCGCAAGGAGCTCAGTACCTTATTCCGAAAGCTGGTCTACAAAGTGAAGGCAAATACTACTGTCATGCTGGAAATGATCTAGGAAACGGTGGAATGGCTAGTGCGGTGCTGGAAGTGCATCAACCACCGCAATTCCTAGCTAAACTGCAATCAAACATGATTCGTCGGGCTGGAGAATCCGAGTTCACTGTTACGTGCAGTGCCAAGGGAAAACCAGAACCTTCGATCACCTGGCTGAAGGACGATATCGAAATCACTCCGGATCTGCACATGTTTGAAGTTAAAACCAATGTCGATAAAGGTCCCAACGGTATGGTCACTGTTCAAAGCATGCTGAAATTTGTCGGAAAAGTTCGAACAAATGGAAACGATCTGATGCCCGGAGATCGTGGCCAGTACACTTGCTTGTACGAAAATGAAGTCAACAAGGCCAATTCTACTATGCATCTGAAGATCGAACACGAACCCATTGTTCTACATCAGTACAACAAGGTTGCCAACGATATCAGGGAAACCGCCGAAGTTGTGTGCAAGGTTCAATCATACCCCAAACCGGAATTCCAATGGCAGTTCGGAACCAATCCTGCTCCAATTAACAACAATGATCACTACGAAATCAGTGCAACATCGGACAGCAACGATGTCTACACTAGCATCCTGAAGATCAACAACCTACGGCATCAAGACTACGGAGATTACCATTGCCGCGTTTCCAATGTTCTTAATACCATTCACGTACCGATTCGCCTTCAGCCCAAGGGATCTCCGGAGAAGCCAACAAAACTGAAACATGTGGAACTCGGTCCTAACTTTGTTGTCCTGTCCTGGACTCCTGGGTTTGACGGAGGTCTCAGCAATACAAAATACTTTGTGTCCTACCGCAAGATCGTGATCCCGAATGAAAGCTTGGTAACCGACGATTGTGCTGCAGTTGCTGCCAATGGTGCCGAATGGATGGAATTCGACTGCCGGCGGGAAGTTCCATGCACCATTACTCCTCTCGATCACCATCAGAGCTACATGTTTAAAGTGAAGGCCCTGAACACTAAGGGGGTATCCGAGCATTCAAATGAAATCACCGCTACCACGAAGGTTGAAAAGGTTCCCATTCCTCTGCATGCTTCGTTCGATCCGGAAACTCGCCTCTTGGCGTTGAACATTGGAGTCACTTGTCTATCGATGATCGCAATTGTGGAATCGGTTATCTATGGCGACACTCCCATGGCGGCTTGGCATATTATAGAAACCATCGAGCTGGATGTGAATGGCCATGAACCGACTTATAAGGAGAGCAAAATTGAACATTTCGTAGCTAACCGGAGAAATAACGGACGATCGCTTGGAACGGCACTGGAAGACATTCCCATGCCGGCTTTGGATGATGAGCTGAATCCGAGAGTGCGCGTCAAACTTTGCCTGAAGATCAATCACGAGTACTGTGGAGAATATGTCGAAGCTGACAGTAAGTACTTTCCGTGTCATATCCAATGATGCAAAATAATTTCATGATTCATCTCTTCTTTCAGTTGGTCCCTCGCTCATCACGGAAGCGTCGTTTGTGGAACTCCCGACGTTGATTGCAATTGTAGTATCCTGCATCGTTGCCGGTTTGTTCGCCGTGTTGCTACTGATGTTCTGCCGATGCAAGCGTAAACAGTCCAAGGAATCGGCCAAGGCCAAGGAGTACGACATTGATTCCATCCACCCGTCAATTGTGGCTCAGCAAAATCAGGCTCCACCGCCGTACTACTCCGCAAGCAGCTTGGAAAACAAAGCTTTGGAACATTCGATGGACCTGGCCATGGACCAGAACCAAGCGCTGTACGCTAGTCAGCAAACGTATGGCTATCATCAACAGAACGCGATGATGCCACAGGTGCCGCAGAATGATTGTGAGTATCTTCATCCCACAGCTTCCAATAATCGGTTGGAAATAATTTCGATTATTTTTAATAGGGTCCAACATGGGTTACGTTGAGAACTCGTACTCTAACTCTAACAACGGTGGAAGCGTCAACTCACAGGACTCGATCTGGCAGCTGAAGATGTCGGCCGCGGCTTCCAATTCGGCAAACATGATTCCCCAGCACAACTACATGGATCAGCCGCTGCAGCAGAACTACGGATACGATCCGATGACCCATGGTGGCTACGGAGCAGTTGACGATTATGCTCCGTACCCGCACCTGATGACCACGGCCAGTCAGCATGGAGGCGACGACTATCACCCGAACATGAGAAATAGCCAGAACCCATCGCGTCAGGACTACTGCAGCGATCCGTACGCTTCCGTGCACAAGCCGAAGAAGAGGATGGACCAGCATATGGGTGAGTGTGATTTGCGGTTTTCGTTGCATAAATAGATCCGGAAGGGAACTTTTTGAAATCATGCACTTATTATTTATTAGGGTTTCACACTAACGGCGCCGGTGGTGCAGTGGTAAGCGTGATTACCTCTCACCCCAGCAGGCCTGGGTTCAATCCCAGTCGGCGCCGTTATGTTTTGTCATTTCAACCTTTTAATTTTTTGAACTTTTGTTTCCATTTGACCTTTTTCCCATTTCGTCCTTATGTCGATTTAACCGTTTTCATCCTTGGTTTTTTTTCAACATTTGTCTTTTTGACCATTTGTGCGGAAAACATGTCGATGAAAAAAATATAAAAAAATTCCATTCGATTCCATCGAACTTTTGGCTATTTGATGTTTACCCATTTGATTTTTATTTAAGTTTTTATTCATTCAGCTTTTTGTGCATTTCGATGTTTTGTCCATTCGACATTTGTTCTTTTTTTTCATCGGACCTTTTGTCCTTTCATCTTTTTTTTCCCATTAGACTTTAAAATACAAGATGAACTAGCCAATGAGCTAAAAATCTCCCTAATAATGTTAAAAAAATAAACTTTTAGTCTCTTCTTCGATCTTTCGTTCGTTCGACCTTTTGCCCCACCCCCTTACTTTCATTCGACCTTTTATCTTTTCAACGTCACGTCATTGGGACGATACTAATGGATATTTTTGGTCGTTATTGAAAATTTAGTCGATTGCTGAATTTATGTATGGGCCCAAATTAGGGACACTTAGGCCGACATTACATACATTCCCCTATATGATATGTTTGTTAACGTCTCATCTTTTATATCAAAAATGGATTCCGTCACGTGTAAAATTAGTTATTTCTAAGTGTGTACCTGGTCTTCCATTGCACGGATTGGTAGAGTACATTCACTGCAGCTGTCTGGGCGACCCATTTTAAATATACAACGAAGGTACAAGAATACACACAAAGTAGGATAAGTGGGATACAACATGCTGTAGTCAACACTAAAATCACCAATCACCACACCATTTAACTTTTTCGAGTTTCCAAATCAATTTAGTGATTGATATTGTGGGTTATTGGTTTCGATTCACAGTGGCTTATCAAGAATTACCGTTAAACCATATACGACATAACATTGAGTTAAGCAAACACCAGTTGTTGAGCATATTTTCGGCAAATCGTTAACCGTTAATCAACGGCGTTAATTTTATGTTAACGAATTAACATTTCCGTTAAATATAAGAACCGTCGACGAATTGATTTTTTTTTCCTTTGGTTTGTTTTTTGCCGTCGATCTTGTTTTCCGTGCTGAGCACCAATGCTACCGACGTGCCAGAAAGGCAGCTCCCACACCTGGACCCTACCTATCGACCCATCAACTCATGAACCGGGGACCAACGGCTTTACTTCCCATCCGAAGAAAGGTGTGATCAGAGATGTTATGCCTCAGAACATCCCGGCGGCGCCGACTGGGATTGAACCCAGGCCTGCTGGGGTGAGAGGTAATCACGCTTACCACTACACCACCGGCGCCGTTGTCGACGAATTGATTAACAGTCGTTAAATGGTGGTTCGCTAAATCATGCGTTGAATTTTTGGTTATGGATGTGTATTCTATGATTAAATCTGAGATGCATATAGTATGTTATGCTCAATGGGGGAGTAAGATTTTGTGACAAGCACTGCATTAGCTATAGGGAAAACGTGATGGATGGGGAGGAAGAAGCTATTTTATTTTTTTCTCAATTTAACATGACATAATTCTGGTTCGGCCCCTAATGGGCGTTGAAAGATGGCAACTTCAATGAATGAGGTTATAGCTTCTCTGTTTGAAAAAACTGACAATAATTGTTTTTGGAAAGATAAATTCAAGAGTTCTAGTCAAACATGTGGAAAGAGCCAATGAGCCATATATAAACAATTATTTTAAACGTAGATTTCTCGAAGTGGATGGAGACTCATCCAGGCAAACCAACAGCAGCATTTGATGCCAATTACATACTGCTGCTGGTTTTCCTGGATGAGTCTCCATCCGTGAAAAATCGACGTTTTAAGTCTTTGTTTACATCATAGTCGGTGTTATACTAAGAGTCCTTTAAAGAAAAAATGCTGCGAACAATAAGTGCAAACGGCAAGAAACATCATGCGATCCAAAAATGAATTGAATGATGCAAATTTTGTGAAAACTAGTTTTCCTTGACTTATTTCTAGAACTCAACACTTTGATCCCGTTAAGTGCAGCTTTTGATCGAAACGTGTAATTCTACTTCTATATTTTCATTTGAGCAGCAACGAAAATTTGCTTTTGTTGCCGTTGTAAGCGAAAAAGTCGACAAAAGGGGTTGATAAATGAAGAATCATGGAACGCCAGAAATAACCACTTTCTTCTTGTTTTGAATTGAAGAAACCAATTTATTTTATTTTACTTTAAAATCAGTTTTTATGGAAGTAGTTTACATTGTTCAAACTGACAGGCAGTCTTCTTTACTAAGCTTCAAGACAAACGCATCATTCAGAAATTCGTTCACAGGTCCACCTATTCATTTCTTACTCATCGCTTCCTAAACTGGAAGAGACAGGCACCGGTCATCTAGCCACCATTCGTCACCCAGGAAATCCTCCGTCGCTGGTTTTACCTTACCTTACCAATCAGGCTAAGGCCTTGTTGTCTTCTGCTGTCCGAAGAAATCGTCTTCAGTCTACCCTATCCATGGCCACACGTCTCTCGCAACCCGGGAAGCCGAGCGATTTGCAGTTCCATGTTCCGAGTTTCCAATCGTAGTCCTTATTTCGTCGCGTAGATCTGTGCCGATTACTCCGATCCGTACTTCTTTCTTCGGCATTTGCAACTTTATATTTTTTCCAGGGTGGCTTGTTGGGCCTGCCCAAACTCTCTGTCTCGCCGGGGGACCACCGTGCACAGCTCTGTTTAGAGCCCACTAGGACGGTGATCAGCTACTCCTAACATAGAGAACAGACGCCGTTTTGAGCCTCACCTCCATGGTGAACAGACGCTCGGGTTTGGTGAAGGATTTCCTCTATCACCGTACTATGGTTTCCTCGCCAGTGTTTGCGCAAGCCATCATCACCGATTTCAATCTTCTTTAACGAACTGTTCGGGATTCGCTGAGCTTTGGCGCTGGTTCAATTTATTTCTGAAATATCTAACACAAGTAGAAATACGATAGCTTGCTCTTCCCTTGCTCTGGATCTTAAAAAAGAAATCCTTAACGAGAACCTAAACGTAGATTCCGGATGTGTTCAATCTAGTGCTTGCACCTCTGTCTGGGGAAAACTATGTCTGGAACAGACCGACGAGAAAGTGACTGTACACATCAGATCGGACGATCTAACTGGATGGTCAGTATTCGTAAGACAAAACGTTCCAGAAGATCCGGTGAACTTGGTAGCTGCTGTTCTCATAAATTTTGGGAAAACAGAAAATTACTGATTATTTTTTTCTGACTCTGAAAAACACTCGACACACTGAACTCGTCAAGATTGAGCCGTGTAAATTTATAGGTGATGTCGCAGAAAATTGTACTAATTGCACTCAGATAAAAGTAGTAGAATTTTACATGAAATCGTGTAATTTACAATAATTTTTGTGATTCACTTCATGTGCGCGATTTATTTCATAAAATTACACTAGAAATGGAATTACGTAAAGAGTTCTTCTGCTAGTGTTTAATCACGCTCAAATTAAAAATTTGTTTTTTGCAGTGTGGTGCTTGGTGGCAGAGAGCAAACTATTTTTTTTTCTTGATTTGTTTTCCGTCGATCTTGTTTTCTGTGCTGAGCACCAATGCTACCGACACCAGGGAGGCAGCTCCCACACCTGGACCCTACCTATCGATCCATTAACTCATGAACCGGGAACCAGTGATGGAATTCTCACCAAAATATCATTTTCGCTTGCGATACGTTTTCTCTTGGGAACTTTCCCTCACTAGTTTCACACTCCAATATTTCCTGAGCGAACTTTCTGGGATGAGAGAATGAGATATCGCGAACTTTTTTAACTCGAATCACCAACGTGAGGATACGAAAAATATCAGATCATTTTTTCTCTCTATCTCTTTACACCACATTCGTTCTTGAAAATTGCACTGCACATTTCACAAGGGAAAGATTATAGACAGAAAGCTATCCCGAGTAAATCAATACAATCTCTAAAGACTGATAAGTCTGGTACCTGGCTGTCTACTGGCGCCTGTTGTTTAAAGTAGCCGTTATCAGGATGATGTGAACAGTTTTGTGCAACTGATTGATTGGTGCATTGGTTTCTGGCAAAAAAATGAATGAATCAGCACAAGTGTCAACGCGACATTAACGTGGAACGGGGAGGGTAGTGTAAGATTTTGTGACTAGCAATTTTTATATTAAAACCGTTCCTCAGGATAGGGGGTTGCGGAAGGAGGAGCGCCTAATGTATCCTCATTTTCACGAAATACAGTTAATGCATGGCTCCTCTCATCACTAGTGTTCGTAATATCGTTCCTGTAAGCTCTTATGCAATAATTATATGCAGGGGGATGGTTGGGAATATAGGTGGTGGTGAACTTTTTCACTGTGCTATTACCAGTGCTGTAAATTCTCAAAATCATTTGAACATTTTTGATGAAAATTAGAAAAGTAGCTATTCGCTATCAAAGGGGACCTCCTCCGAATGGGTGATATCAGTTGCTTAGTCATTTGACGAAGGCATGGATCATTCTCATTTGAGAAACGCTATATATCATTCGATTGAGTGTAACCTACACACAAACGGAGCTCTGGTCGACATTCCGGCGAAAAAGCTAAGCCAACCCGACACCAACCTGACTTCTATCAAACCCCAACCCGATGTTGACCCGACATTGACCCGACATAAACCCAAAATTGACCCGACATTAACACGACATTGGGTCGACATCGACCTTAAATTAGCCTTACATTGATCCGACATCGGGTCGACTTGTCTGTTCGGGACCATTTTCCTGGATTTCTTCCATATTCCACTGTCGTATATCAAATGATACTGAGTGACTCAATTGACAGTGACAATGAGCTTCGAATGAGAAAGGGGCTCTTCAAATTATGGTCATGTGAGAATTCGTTTACACAATTCTGTGAATGGTTGTAGTGGTTCATCTTCAATCTAATGATATGAAAATTTACAGCACTGGTTACAAGTATCTATTATTAGCTGGTTGCATTGAGAACTAAAACTATAAATAAATCCGGAAAACTTTGAGATTAGGGCGTAATTTCTTTTGTAAACACACACTTAATTCGCCGATTTCTCGTGAATTAAAGTTCAATCTAAAAAACTAACAGACAGGTAGAGGAATGATTCATTTGGTATAGTATAGTTCGCTAGATTGTGCTTTGATTCGTGAGAAATCGCTGAATGACGTGTTTGTTTACAAAAGCAATTACGCCCAAATCTCAAAGTTCTCTGGAAATGGTATTTAATGTGAAGGATGCGAAAAATATCGGAGAGCGAGAAGAAAACAAACAGACACTCTCGCATGATCATCGCCTACCTTTACTCGCTGGAAAAAAAGAACAAAGCTGAGGGGATATTTGGTTGGTTCGAATCACGAGTACGTGTGAAATGATGTGAGATGGAGAGACGAAAGATCTTTCGCGATACGAAATGAAAATTTCTCTCGCTCTACGCTTTCATGAACTTTTTATCATCTCTCGTTCGCGAACTTTTTGTGAGAAGTTCCTTTGGAATTTATCTCTGCAATGAGCTGTGATAGAACTTTTTTTGAAAATGATTTTTCCAACACTGCCGGGAACCAACGGTTTCACTTCCCCTCGAAGAAAGACGTGATCAGAGATGTTATGCCTCAAAACATCCCGGTGGCGCCGACTGGTATTGAACCCAGGCCTGCTGGGGTGAGAAGTAATCACGCTTACTACTACACCACAGGCGCCGCTTGAAACTATGTTGTTATTTTTTACTGTAAATGATTCAATCGTTGCGAACAGTTCAACCAGTTTACAGTTATGTATTAACAGTGCGTGATCATTATAAATTCTTGAATAGGCATACCAACGGGTTCACACGGATTACAACTTTGTTCAAGCTGAATGTCAAATTAATTGTCAGTTTGTACCTAGGTTGAATTTTATTTTGATAGAAAATTCGAGTCATCCAGGCTTGCGTAATTACTTAAGTAACCAAGTAACAATTCAGCAGCCTTTTGGCTTTCACTCTGATTTATAATGGTTTTATCACGGCAATAAGTCAACTTTTAAGTTTAAATACAGCATTTAAAAGTGCAACACATTCAGACTTCAATGACGATGTGGTTTAGAAAATGAAATTAATGCATCCCTTCGTAAAACAGTTCTGTAAATCAATCATAGTGTTTGTTTATTGATATCACGACAAAATACTTCATAAAGGTGTTTAATCATTATAAAAGCAACTATAGAATCGGTTTCAAATGGGAACAAAAAGTAGAGTAGCACCTCGTTGCAATGATCGCACAACAAACCTAAGAACACAACTATCAAAAGATAAACGTTTAACGTTTTGACGTTGACGCTGACGCTGGAAAAAAGGCAACTTTGTCACCAATAATGCCGTCATAAAACGAAACTGCCAATACTCGCATAATTGTCCCATCTTTGCTAGATTTCCTATTCATATGGGACAGTTATGATTTTATGGACAGTAAACGAATCAAGCAAAATGGTTTCAGATAAAAACAATTAAGTCTTCAAATTATCTGCATTAAAACGCATTGTAAATTGTAGCATTAGTTCGCGATTTCATGAAAGCAAAACAGCTTTTTCACAAATGGTCTATGAAAAATTAATATTTAAACCACAGCCATGTTGCTATTATTCCATTTGTTTTACTACCTTCGATGTTTCACGCTGCGATGTTTTTTTTTTTTTTTTTCAAAGTAGGGTAGAGCACTACTTTGTCGTAATCGCCCATTTCCGTTCTTCTATCGGTCAGAAAAGATCAATAATATCAATGATTTCACCATGCATAAATCAATAATAGGTTTGTTCCGATGCGTTAGTTCATTAGCTACAACATAAATCCTGTTAGAGCGCATTGTATGAATAATTACGCTCATTGTTCTCAAAACAAAAGAAGCGCTTTTAGCGAATCCCCTTTTCTACGTTTATCCGTAGGAAGAAGAAAATCTAATGGCGTTTCAATGCGTTTGGACGGAATTGAAACTCGTAGAACGAATTTAGAATCAAGCAGCAGTATTAGATTTTAAACAATATCTCAACAATTTGTGACTCTTTATCACATCCAACGGTACGTATGGAAAGGTGAATAAATTTAAAAGTAATCTGTGAGAGAAATTTTCCATTTTTTTTTTTTTTGTTCAAACCCGTTTCAAAAAAAGGAGGTAAACCGGGGTTGTGCTTAGTAGGATGGAAATAAGATCAAAAACCTACCTTAATTTTTCTCATCAATCCATCAATAAGTTAAAAGAAATTACGAAAATCTTCAAATTATCTAGACGAAATGATTAATTTTTCAAATAATTGTTTTTTTTTTTAATAAAAAAATGGTATAATCAACTTATTCAGAAGGCGGGCTAATTTCGAAGCACATTTTATATTAGATTTAATATGGCACCTACAATTTGGTCATAATATGAGAACAGTTTTGATCATTTTGGTAACTACCTTATTTTATTGATGAGGAAATGTAGGAAGATTTTTGACCGATTCATTTTCGATCAGTTTTTTTTTTTGTGGCAATGGATTTGCCAAGATCGGATGATATTTATGAATTCCTTTTTATCTTGGGTTTCAAATGGTTATCAATGCTTTCATCATACAACCATTTTGAAACAAATCAATCTTGTAGTGCCTCAAAAATATACCCTTCAAAACCTTCTCCAGGATAGGCCAACTAGACTGATTCTAGTCTTAAAAAGGTTTAGGTGGATTCAATAAAAGCAAAGCTGTCTTGACCAGGGATTTATGAATGTTGTTTTGTAGTTGCCTTGTTAAAACGAAAAATGTTACTTGGGTAATTTAACATTCTGCCTTCCCATTTCCAGACTTTGTTGCCGAATCACCCTACCATGATGTCAGCGGGCTTCCAGACCCATACATGGAACAGGAAGAAGTCAAATCACCGGGCCCGAATCAGCACCTCTCGATGAGCTACGACGACGCCTTGGCACTGGAAAGCGGCTACTCGACTCCGAATTCGCGCAATCGACGTGTGATACACGAAATCGTCGTGTAGAACTGCTTGCCATAACAATGGATATGACCAGGACAATTAATAGGATTTTACAAGGACGCGCAACAAGGATACGCTCAGAAATGAATCGAATGCAAACGAAGCAATCACACATACACGCAGACACACACAATCATAAGCAAATTTTAAGCAACACACAGAGAATAGTTCAAATTTTATTTGTTTTAACGAAGAATAAAAGTACGGCAGCAGCTATCTGCTACGTAATTGTAGTTCAAAATGAATTATGATTGCGTTGCTACAAGCTACACGAGAGACAAAGGAGAAAATGAGAGTTTATATATTAAAAATAACGATCGTCTGGACGAACGGCTTCAGCCCAAGGGCTTTATTTGATCTCAAATAACTCTTTCTGGTAAGTTTGCATTTGATGAATTGATGGCTTTATCATTTGGTTTTAATACATTCCTCGATATTCGTTACAGAGGCAATCGCTGGATGGTGCGGCCAAACTGTGATTGTAAATATAACCGTAAGCCTAAATAAGTTGAGCTCCAGTTATTTTTAAATCGTGCACTGTTTTACGAAATGAAGAAATCAAACATCGATCTAGGGAAATTCTCAATTAAATCGACACTACCATGAGTAATCTCACACTAGAAGTGGGCGGAGTGGTTCCTTTTCTGAATGTAGTACCGAATGTGCCATTTACTGTTTGTGTCGAAATCTCAATTGGAAACGTGTACTCAAAAGTGAAACCGGAAGCAATCAGATCAAAACAATGACCACTTTGCTTGGAAATTAGAATTTTCCTCTCTGAGTGAGGAAATAATATGAGATTAAGGGAAAATATGTCTGCTACATGATACTTAACGTTAGACATAATTCGTCAAAGTCGACTAGTATATCGAAATGAGAAGGTTTATATAGTATATTTTAAGGCAAAATGGTGCCATTCATAATTCATTTCGACTGGTTGCACACTATCAAAGTGGAGCCTCGTCCCACTCGAAATGAGTTCTGATGAATCTTCCACCTGAAACTAGGAATACGAAGGCGTGACACATGACAATAATATAAATCTGTAATTCAAGTGTCTTCAGAAAATTGCACCAAAAGTTTGAGAATTGCAAATCCATAAAAAATCCTCGCTGCCAAACTTTCAAATTTTACAACAAACAATATGGCAGCGATTTATTATAGTTAGCTCTCAAAGAAATCAACAGAAAGAAATTTCCATTTAGCAGTGCGGGGGATACCTAAATACTTGATTTGCTTTTATAATCAACCGATCCAATTTGCAAGTTTTAAACTTTGGCTATGATTTGCACTATCTTCAGCAACCATTGAAGGGAAAAAGAACTTTTTGTTCGTCTCAATCGTTGAAATTTTCCAGTGCGGTGCTGTAAGAAGTTCAGCCCAAAAGTGGCACAAGCATTTCTTCTAAAGAATGTTGCCTGTGTGTCACTTTTCAGCGATAAATACGTCCTCCCTGAATTGTTTCTTCAGTGTACTACACACTTTAAACTCCTCACGTTTGTGAGATTAATGCAAACTTGTAAAATGTAAATTTCCTTTTTTCTGTCAGCTTCCCTTAACTTTTACTTTTTCCTCCGTAGTTTTTAAATATGTTCGTATTTTTTCTTCTTTCTTTCGTTTATAAGTTAGTGACTATCATTATACATACACACCCCGATAAGGATAGGAAAGCGCTAGGCGAGAAATGAGTAATTAAAAACTTGTACATACCGAACACCGAGCGAAGGCAAAACAAAGTTGAGTTTCCATGTTGTGTTTCTGTGAAATGGTAGAGAAGTGTTGCAGTTACAGTTGCATAATTTTCCATCCCCGCTGTAAACACCATTCTCCATTTAAAACTCAACAGGCACTAAATTAAAGGGCTAATCGTTTCTGGAGCGACAGGGACAAACGCGAGCCATTCCAGGAATGAGCAAGCGACAAACGACTTGTGCAGTGGTGGATGGAGGGAATGTAACTCTGTTATGTATTCAGGCTCTCAGTAAAAAAAAAAAGTTACAACGGTGGAGCAAGTTCTTCAACATTAGCAAAAAAAAAAGTTAGTTAATGAAAGCATACAAAACAACAACGAAGGAACGAGTATCTCATAATCAATTAGCGGAAACTTTGGCTCAAATCCAACATAGTAAACGGCAATGGCAGAACGAGTATTCATAGTGGAGCGAATATGATCTTATAATCGGAACCTGGATTTAACCGTTAGTGCTTCCTGACGGTTCAATGGAAAATCCGTGCAGCGAAAGTGTTGTGTAAATATTGACTGAAATTATTTTTTATTGCTATTCGCGGATCTACTTATGAAAGTACGATTTGTAAGTAAATTAGTTGGTAGGAGAACATTTTCGAAGGAAATATAATTTTATTTTTAATATAAACTGTGCTGTGTAACTTTGCTATCCGAAAAACTCCATGATTAAGGACCAAACAATAACAGGTAGGGCTTCATGCCACGTACAACTGTAATGCCCAAGAACCAGTTGCCATAAATAACTTCGTTGGTACGAAGGTTGAATTGAACTGATTCTTTGACATAAATAGTAACACCGCCAGTGTGTCTAGAATGTGATAAACTAACAGCAACAATATATCCCGGAATACCATACTGATCAAAAGCTTCAGTTTCTTCAATATGTGTTTCAGATAATAAAACTAAAAGAGGACGTTTTTCCTCAACAATCTGACGTAATGCTACGTAGTTTGTTGACAACCCCGCAATGTCTTCATTTTGACTTTTTAAGTAGTCAATGAAGACATCGGAGGAATACTGATCGCTCAGTACTGATTAACCAATCGTCCATTTTCAATGTTGGCACCTAAGTGGGATCAACAGCAGTAGTAGTTGGGAATGTTAATTATATATTTCGATTTAAAGATGAGACGAGACAACATTTGAAGGGAGGCAGCGAAACTGGAAATGCTTCGAAGCTTTAAAAGTCGTCACGGCCAATGAGACTAACTCAGAGAGAGAGAGAGAGAGGGAGAGCAACTTTTACTAAAGCAAAGAGTGTGCGTTTGACTTGCACTGTCGCATTAATGGCCCTTCGCTCATTTTCAACTTCTATTCAATTTTCCTACTGCCGTACTCTAACCTACCCTCTTCTAAGATCATTCTCTAGCTAATAAATTAGGTATCACACTAAAGCTTCATGTTAGATAGCATTTCCAACCAACTCTGAACTTTTACTAAGTTGTAGGGGAAATGGATGTAATGTCGGTTTAAATGTCCCTAATGTGGGCCCATACATACATTCAACAATCGACTAAATTTTCAATAGCAACCAAAAATCTCCATTAGTACCATCCCAATGACGCGTTTATCTAGATAAAATTGATTAATAGCAGATTTTTAGCGATTGGCCCAATCTTAGATCCATAGGCCAACATTAGAGGCATTTCCTATATGATAAATTTTGAGTGAACTGCGTTTTTAGAAATTTCTCATGCAACTGAGCTAAAGTGACTCTCTCTCTCTCTCTCTGAAATAGCTTGAACGGCCGTGTGCCCAACTGTGCATATCGGTAGGCGCTTATTTTTCTCTTACATGGATATGTCGATTAACCGTAGAATAAGCACATAGCCGAGCAGTAGCCGGCGCCGGTGGTGTATATGGTAAGCGTGACTGCTTTCTCACCCCAATGGGTCTGGGTTCAATCCTAGCCGAGGTCGGTGGGATTTTTCTGAGGCATAAAAATCTCTGGTCACGTCTTTCTTCGGAAGGGAAGTAAAGCCGTTGGTCCCGGCCGTGTTGAGCTTGAATGGGTGCGATATCCTACGCAGGTGTGGAGCCTTCTTCCTGCACAGTCGATTGCCGTCAATGGATGCCAATCGATGTCCATCGGTGATTGATACTAGATTGCGGAACAGGGACCGACGTAAAATAAAGAAGAAGAAGAAGAAGAAGACCTTAATAGTGACGATTCAAACCCACAAGTATTTCGCACCCTCACCCCCTGTATTATATTAAAAAAAAATATTTAAAAAAAAACATGTTTTATGACAAACGAATGGTAGTACGTGTGGGTTTTTTTTTCAATGTTTGTTTTCAAGATGAATAGAAATAATTTCATGTTTTAGGATTAATTAAATATTTGTATCGTAAACCACTCCCTTTTCCCATCCAAATAATTGTAAATCTCCACTAACCTCGAAACAACCGCGAGTACTTGGTCCAGTTCCTTTAACTTAAATATAAGACAGTAATAATGTATAACGAAAATGATAACTCGGCTCTGTAAAGTTTATTCGATTGAGCCTGTACAAATAAAGTAATTATTAAAAAAAAAACGAATGGCAACTACCCTGGTTGGTAGGTACAGACCAATTCCACGCCAAATCGGTCAGTCACCAAACTTGACTATCTTCGATCTGGATGATACTTGGCACATATTTTCAGTATGATAGACCAAGTATTTTCCGCAGGAGAGGAGACCCTTTGGACTCAAGAGTAATTTTTGAAAAGAGCCTATGTGTTTTTGCACACATACTTTAAAAAAATATAGTTCGAAAACAGTTGGTTGTAGAAAAAAATTTACTAAGAAGGAGTTGTAGGAAACTAATAAGGCTTTGTAAAAAAATATACACGGATTTGTTTTTTCGTTTGTTTTCAAAAAATAATAAAAATAAACCTTAAAATTCAAATAACCAAAAAAACATATTTTTGATTTTTTTAATATTTTTTTAATAAAAACTTGAATAGAAAGCAGAAGTTTTGAAAACAACTCCAGGATAAACAAACTTTTAATAAAAATTCCGTGTGTATTTTTTTTTTTTATAAAGCCTTATTAGTTTCCTACAACTCCTTCTTAGTAAATTTTTTTTCTACAACCAACTGTTTTCGAACTACATTTCTTTTTAAAGTATGCGTGCAAAAACACATAGGCCCATTTCAAAAATTACCCTTGAGTCAAAAGGGTCCCCTCTCCTGCGGAAAATACTTGGTCTATCATACTGAAAATATTGAAAAGTTGTCCCGCTATCTGTTAGTATTAGCCACTTGGCTTTCGGTATGATAAAATCAACTCAACTGCTCGCCTCCGTGTCAGAACTAAGAATCATTTTATTACTTCTCTCTTATGCTAACTTAACCTACCTAGCGGTGGCGGACGTGACCCTTTCTGCTGGATCAGCACAAACTGCGTTCGCTGCCCGAGTGGCGTGATCGCGTTTATGCTGATCTTTTTGTTTACATACATTTTATCGTCCGTCTGCGCATTGCTTGCGCAGGGCCGTATCCACCACACGCCCTATCCGAATGAAATTTAAAAATTTATTCAACAGAATAAGTTTTTAAATTGTTTTTGAATTATTTATGTTGAGTTTTTTTTTTTTGTATCAAGATTGTATAATATAATTGTTTTACTATATAAATGTGTGTAACATAATTGTATATAATTGTAATATAGATGTATTAGTTATGAAAATGTGTTTGTAATATGTTTTTGAATTATTTATGATGTGTTTTGGTACCAAACTTGTATAATATAACTGTGTCTACTATATAAATGTGTGTAAAATAATTGTATATAATTGTAATATAGATGTATTAGTTATAAAAATGTGTTTGCAATATCTTTCTCTTTTTTTTTTTTTTTTTTTTTTTTTTTTTTTTTTTTTCGGTATTGTTGTTTCCCACATTAAGAAACTATTTCGAGTTAAAAAAAAAATTTTAATCCTATCCTTATGAATGATATCCGTGTTATTCCCTATTTGGATCTTTATATTGGAACCTAACTCCTCAAGGACTTGATATGGCCCTTCATATTTAGGCTCCAATTTAGACCCCACTTCTCTCTTTACCAGGACCTGTTGTCCCTTTGCGAAAATTTTGTCTCTACATCCTTGCTTGTTCTTTTCTACCCTAGTTGCTTTCCCTTTCAGAAGACTTTTTCTAGCTTCTATTTGGGACTTTTGCAACTGGAATTTCAAAATACTAGCATAATCGTCTACATTGTAGACAGGGTCGGTCTCATTCTGTTCTGTTAGGTTTGATGGAAGTGTGCAAAGCTTCCCAAATACTAGTTCATATGGAGTCTTGCCCGTTGCACTATGTACCGTTGTATTATAAGCGAACTTATAATACGGTACCCAGGCAGACCAATTTCCGTATGAGTTTCCCGTTTGGATACGAAGAAAATTTCCCAAGACTTTGTGGGAATTTTCCAACGATCCGATTGTTTGGTGATGATAGGCGGTAGAGTTCAACTTCTCTACCTTTAGTTGATTACATATTTTAACAAATAGAGCAGACATAAATTCTGTCCCTCTATCTGTTAAGATTTGCGTTGGAACACCGTAATTTAAAATGACATTATCGACGAATGCTTTGGCCACAGCATCTGCCGATTTGTCCAAAATTGGTGTTGCCGTAATGTATTTGGTTAAATCGCATTGGGTTGTCAAAATATATTGATTCCCTTGCGCGTCTGGTAGAAGAGGACCTACAAGGTCCAAGAAAATTTTCTCGAACGCCGAACTGGCCGTACTAGTCAACTGCATTGGTTGTCTAGTATTTTGGCTTTTGTTCTTTTGGCATTGAGGACAATTTTTGATAAAGGATGCGATATCACTATCCATGGACTTCCAGTGATATCGCTGTTTGATGGTGTTGGTTGTTCTCTTGATTCCCGCATGCCCTGCAGTTGGCAATACGTGGAAATCGTTTATTACAACCTGTTGGTCTTTTTTGTTCGTAATTTCCGTGATTTTCTTTCCTATTATAAAAATAGGTGGCATGCCACTAACTTGGAGGGCTTCAATCTTTTCCCTCAACGATTTTGCTTCGTTCGAACATTTCAGTGTAAGGCCTATAATTTTAGTTGCTCTCGCGAAGTCCACTAATCGTTTCATCACTCCCCGTAGGTGAGTTAATGACGTATTAGGCTCGATAGAGAGAACTCCTTTCTTCAGTTGCTC